CCTCTAAAAGTTGAGTTTAACCAAGTAGAGAGTAATTTTGGATCTAACAAAATTAGATATTTATTTATACTCTTAAAATTTGGGCCCTAAAATTAGATCATATCTAAAATACAAAAAAAAAAAAATGCCTATTCTACTAAAGGAATAAATTTTTGAGGGAACCTTTAAAATTTGGTCTTAACTAAGTCGGTAGTACTTTTAAACCTAACAAAATTAGATATTGATTTTGAACTCTTAAAATTTGGACTTTAAACATTTAGATCATATCTAAAATAAAATAAAAACACTTATTATGCAAAAAATTGTTTTGGGGCCCTCTACAAGCATATTAGGGCCAGTAGTGCATTATCTAATCTATCTATATTACTAATAAAAATGCCTTAGCATAAAAAATTTTAATTCACTATTTTGCCTTTATAAAAAACTATATAGACTAACATGTTCTTTTATATTTAAATATACAAATTACCATTATATCTTTATGTATTTAAGTAACAAACTAACTTCTAAATCATGTAAATTTCTCTATCTTTGAAATTTTTTTGAATAGTCATGTTATGCTTAGCATGATATATAAAAAAATATTTTTTTTTTTTTTTCCAAAACTCCAATATTAATACTCGTCTATAATTTTATTGATACAATATTATCTCCAATGTCCAAAAATAGATATATATCTAAGAATCAAAGAATATATTTATTTTCATTCACAATCAAAGAATTTAGTAAAAAACTATTGAAGCACAAAATAAAAACAAGAAAGAAAAAAAGAAAAAAAATTATAAAAGAAAAATCTATAACATTTACTGCTTTGTAGCTCGAATGAAAGAATACAGAAAATAAGTTCATTGAATATTATAGTTATGAAAATAATAAAAATAAGGAAAAAATTCATTCACACCCCTTGTAGTTGATCATATATTCAGAGATACCCCTGTAAATTTTGAAACTACACTACCACCCCTTGTCAGTTGTTATCGACTGACGGCGTTAACTTAGATAATAAATTTACTAAAATCCCAAAAAATATTTTATATCTATAATATGTATGTGTATGTGTATGTGTGTGTGTATATATATATATTTCTCATATATTACATTATACATAAATATATAACTTGTGGTTAACCTTGGGTTGATACTAACTGGAAATACAAAAATAAAGCAACTAGAGTGAGTTCAGCCACTCGATTGTTTGCCTTCTGGTTCTCACACAGAGAGAGAGTAAGAGTGTCAGAGAGAGAGAGAGAGAGAGAGAGAGAGAGGGACTGAGTGAGAGGAGATCCAATCACTTGATTGCTTGTTCTCTGAAAGTATGTAGTCTTGTGCTTGATTGCTGTTCGAATCCTTGGAGTTGAAAATGATCGAATGATAAAAGGCTCGATTCACTTGTGCCTCAAGAAGATCAAGTCATCATCGATCAATCAATAGGTATGAACAAACTCTAAATTTTTTGTACACAAAAAAAAACTTAATTTTATACTATTTTTTGTATGAAAAAACACTGAAATTTACCCTAATTTTTGTTGTACGAAATCCCCTATTTTTTTGTACAGAAATCCTTGACTTTTTGATATGGAAACCTACACGACATGGGTATGTTAGACCATTGGTGTTTAGTGATAATAATTTATGTCCTGTTCTAATTTTTTTGTTCTTTAACTTGCAGGGAGTCTTATTCCATTATCACTTGTCAGGTTATAGAATAATAAAAGAGCAATGAATCTTATTCTTATTTTTACTCCTACCAATTAACTTTTTTGTTGCACTCATGTGATTTTTTGTACTAGTTTCATTACATTTCATGCCAACTGTATATGATTTATTTGTGGTTTTGTTGATCCAAAGCTATCTAATATTTTTTCTAAGTAATATATTTTTTTCTAAAGAAAGAGGTTTTAGTTGTTTGAAGGTGAGATTAGATGCAATATTAAAATTGTTTTATTTGAGTATGGTTTGTTATTTTCTTAATATTATATTGAGGATTTTTTTTTTGTGTAGTGATTATGTGTTTTTTTCTTCATATTTGTGACTGGTTTTTATTATTTTAAAATTCACACAGATGATTGTAGTTTGTCATGATTTGCTCTTTGAATATGATCACAAACAGTACAATATATAGAATATTGATCCAGATAAATATTGGCATGCGGACTTGTTAAAAGATATCTGTGAACTTGCATTGCCCAATATTCCATCAAGTGCAGCTCTCAATGTATACTGTGGTGTGCCTGGTTCAAATGAGGAGATGTTGGTTGAGCATGACAAAAGCTTGATGGAGATGTTTGCATTACATGAGACTACAAAACAGATAAGACTTTTTGTTAGTGTAGAAGCAGTTGTAGATGTTGTGGTTGACTTACCCCCATTGTTACCTAGTCTTCATCCACTTGTTGTTGACAATGAAACACTGATGGATAATGTTTTTGGGAATGATGCATCAAATATTAGGTTTGATGGTGCTAGTTTCGATGTTGGGAATATGAACTCTGTACATGGCGATGCCCAGGATAGTGACAATGGTGACTTTTAAGATGATGATGTATATGGATTGAGTGTAGAGGATGGTGACTATGGAGAAGAAAATGTGATCTCCAACCATGAGTATGGGGAAGAGATAGATCTAGACTATCGTGATGATGAGTTATCGGATTATGAGTAGGGGGATGATGATTTTAGTTATTCTAGCTTAGAGTCGGATGATAATGTGGACAAGAGACGAGAGAGATCAACTGCCAAAGCATTTGATATGAATAGGTATGGGAGTGAATTTCAAAGACAACCTAATGGCATTATCAAGTTAGAGGTTGGCCACTTGTTTATGGATGTCAAACACTTTAGGGACATTTTAAAAGAGTATGCAATTCAGGAGGGATTTAAATTAATAAGAGACAAAAATGAGAGGACTAGGATGGCATGTCATTGTGGGAATGGTGGTTGTAATTGGAGAATCGATGCATCCCCACTTCTAGATGGTGTTACATATAAGATTAAGACTTTGAGAGGTCCTCATACTTGTGTTAGAGATACCTTTAGTGATGAGGCAACCTCCACATGGCTTGCTAAACAATTAGCAATTGAAATTAGAACTAATCCCGAAATTAAATTGATTGGTCTACAAGAAATGATCAGCACTAAATTCCACATAGAAGCCATAATATAGTAGTGTTACAGGATTAAGAGGAAGGCACTCGAAGACGTGGAGGGAAATCATGCGGAGGCATAAGAGATGGTAAGAATGTATGGGAATGAAATCCTTCGAAGCAATCCAAGAAGTCTTGTTGCCATAGAAACTGATGCTCTAGACAGTGATTATAGAAGACCTTTCAAGAGAATTTTTATTGTTTTTCATGCTCTCACAGTTGGCTTCATACATGGTTGTAGACCATTCATTGGTCTTGATGGGTGCCACCTAAAGGGTCATATGGTGGTGTTCTATTGTTTGTTGTTGCTTTGGATGGTAATAATGGGCTATTTCCTATTGCATATGGTGTGGTAGAGAGTGAGAGAACAGAAAGTTAGACTTTTTTTCTTGGCCAATTGGCAGAAATCATTGGACATGAGACACATCCACTCTGTTTTATGACTGATTAGCAGAAGGTATGTAGTTGTTTAACTCTACACTTGTTATTTTCAAAGTATTATTATTATGACTGTTAAGTTGGTTTTTTTCCTATGTTATTGTGATTGTTAAAATGCTGAAATTAGTGTAACAACCTTTTTTTAAAAGATGTTATATCTATGGTTGTGAGCAAACTGTTACTGAAATACTGTGACAGTGCTTCTGTAATTGGGATATTGTAACTGTGATTATGATCTTCTGTTTAAATGTGGTACAGGGACTAGAAAATGCCATAATGCAAATATTCCCACAAGCAAATCACCGTAGATGTTGTGTGCATTTGCTTACGAGTTTTAAGAAGAAATATCTCGGTGTATTACTTAGAAGACTATTTTGGAACGCTGCTAAAGACTATAACCAAGAAGATTTTAATGAAGCAATGTTGCAGCTCAAGTCTAAGTCTCTAGAAGCATATTAGTGGTTGCTTAAGCTGCCTATAAGCCCATGGGCAAGGCATGCCTTTGATTGTTAGATTAAGAGTGACCATGATACTAATAACATGACAGAATCTTTCAATAATTGGGTAGGATCACTAAGGTTGAAATCAATACTTACACTTTTAGATGGGATACGAACTAAGTTCATGATTAGGATTCAACAGAGACATGATAGGGGTAGCACTTGGGAAAGGTTGGTCACAGAGAACATAAGGAAAAAACTTAACAAAATCATTGGAGAATCAAGGAAATGTTCTGTCTTGCATGCTGGTGTGTTTAACTATGAGATTATGGATACTGGAGTAAGATATGTAGTAAGACTTGATCAAAACACATGTGATTGCATGGCTTGGATTATATCAGGTATACCATGTAGGCATGCAACATAGGTAATTGCTCACGAGGGGTTGAATATTGAAGAATATTGTCATGACTTCTTCAAGACAGATGCTTTTCTTAAGCCTCATGAACTAATGATTCACCCGCTTCAAGACCAAAGGAAATGGCCACCAACTATTGGTGATCCTTTAGCCCCTCCCCCTCTTATGAGATTACCAGGTAGACCCAAAATAAATAGGCATAACGAGGCAAATGAACCTGTAGGTGGGACTAGTGCTGCTAGAAGGTGCCTCTAAGTGTGAAATGCAGCATATGCGAAGAGTTTGGGCATAATAGAAGGTCATGGGCACCCGTCAAGGGTTTGAAGGTTGAAGGACAAGTTGATGGTGAAATGGCTCAACAATCAGCATCTCAAGGAACCACCATAACTCAGAATTTGTGATGAGTAGGTATAATTTTTAGTCAATAACATTATGGTGATTATGATTATAATTTCTAGTTTATTGTAATTAAGTACCAAGTAATGTTCCTTGGGTTACCACTAGAAGGGAACAAACTGGGCTTGTCCAAGGTTGTGGGGAAGCATAAGCTGCTAACTCGTTTGTGTATTTTGACTGCTAACCGCGCATTTTTGTGTAATTTTTGTATAGTTTGATTATGATCCTAGGGATATAATTTTGTTAATGCTCAGGTGTAAAGTGACTTGACTGTTGCTGAGCTTTTTTGTGTAATTTTTTGTGTAGTTTGACTATGATCCCAGGGATATAATTTTTGTAAAACTCAAGTGTAAAGTGACACAATGCTAATTACATTTGATGATCAATATATTATGAATGACTTCAAGTTGATGTACAGTTAATTAAAATAGTCTAACAAATTATGATGAATTCAACATTAATCATACAGAATAATCATAAGTTCAATATTTTGATTAATTTAATAACTCTAGTGATGAACTTCTACAACACTTTTGGACTTTTCCACTCAATCTATCAACTGATCAAATTGGGTTTCCAATGTTATAAATAAGTTGTGTAAATGATGACATAGTCTATTTATACATAAAAAGGTAATTTTGGAATTTTATAAAAAATTCAGTCATGTCATCCACTTTTTGTAGTATAGAAACAGACTGCTAAGTATGGGGGTGTAAGTGAAGAGACAATACAAACAAGATGGGGTGACAATGAAGTTTTAGAATTTACAGGGGTGTCTCCAAAGATATGGTTAATTATAGGGGGTGTGGATGAAATTTTTTCTAAAAATAATTTAAATACAATAAATATTAGATAATATCTAATTTTTCTACATTATTAAATTTTTTTATTTATTCTACCAATTATTTAAAAAAAATTCACGTGTAATGCCGTGTTTAAGGAGCTTTGGGTCATGCTTATGCAAAAATGCATGATTAAAAAAAGGTCAAATGATATTAACGATGACCATGACATGGCATTATGCAACTGGAAGTTCCACCACTGAGACAATGGCTGCGGCACAGGTGAAGTAAACCCTAGCAATGTATAAAATGAAACCCTAGGCTTCCAACACAACCTGTCTTTTCTCCCTCCCCCTCTTCTTCCTCTCGGCCGCTTCAGCCTCTCTCTCTCTCATCTTCAGTCCCCGGTTGCACGCCCGTCTTTTCTGTGTCTCAAGCTGCTGTTGCGATCTCGCGTCACTACTGCAAACCTGCGTCATCCATCGTCCAACTAGGTAACTTCTCGCATCTCTCTCACAGATATACACTCATCATGGGTTTTGTGCATTAACAACATAAGCGACTAAGAAAATGGTCGTATTGTGTTGGGCCAAGTCTGAATGTTCAAACATTAGACTCATGACTCCCAACACCCCTGTTGTTAGGGGTAAATTATTTATTTTTATTTAGACATTATACCAGAGCTTTTGTTAGAATAACATAAATAAATTCAAATTGTAAACCTATATCTTACTCACGTCTACATTTCTGATAGCTCAATAGCCTACAATATGATTTACTTAATTTTTTTAGTGACACGAAGACGTTGATTGCAGTACTAATTTAGCTTTGAAAAGAAAAATTACTGAGGTCCACTTTGAATTTCAATCCAAGTTATTCTAGGCTGCGATTCTTACATCTGTATTAGTTTTGGGACTCATGTCTGGTGCAATGTGTAAGCACATACTGTGGTAGCTTGTGTTTGTTCCTTTGATACAAATTTGTTGGTTGTGTTGTGGTGACTGTGTTTTTGGTATACAGTAGTGGGTTTTAATTTGTTGATTTCTTTAGCAATATATGATTTTTTTGGGTTCAACTGTCGTTTTTTATCAGATACGGTTATCATTGAGCATCCTTTTTTTAATGAATTTTTGGCATAAATATTATTTGTAATTGATTTTTATTTTTTATTCCAAACTGGCCCTGTGTTTTTCTTTTGTTTTCGAGTTGGTGTCCTGGCTGGGTTTAATAACTGTGCTCTGCTCTCTCTTTCTAGAAATGGAAGAAGAAGGATGTGGAGGTGTAGTGAGAGAACATCAACCAATATTCAGAGACATAAGGAGATATTACTGCCAGTACTGTGGCCTCTGTCGGTCCAAGAAGTCTGTCCTCACATCTCACATCCTCTCACTCCACCAGGTTGGTTAGGTTTCCATTCATCTCTGAATTTTCTCAATCAATTGATACATGGGGTTCTATTATTCTGTCCATGGTAAAGCCTAAATCTTGCCCCTTTTTGCTGCTTTTATAGTCTTTAATTTTAGTTGATCATGCCCTTGAGTGCAATAGTATGTTCTAGAAGAGCAGAAGATGAGAAGATGAGACTCGGTGAGACAATTTAGAAGCAACAGAACTGATCTCTCTGTGCTATGTGTGAAGAACTAGTTAACTTGTCATGTTTGGTGGACTGATTTGTTACCGAGAGGCTAATTGATTGCCTAAGTGTGATAACTCAAGTGTGTGTGTAAACACAGCACTACAGTGTAGCTTAAGTGGTTCCAAGACCACCACACTCGGTGCTTGATACTAATTATAAAAAACTTGTTTTTCGAGAACCTAAAAAGTAGTTGTTACCCACTGTGCATCATAATTGGCCTTAAGACTGTTTTAGCAAACTCACATGAAGCAAAGGTTATTGGAAGTGAAGGAGAACAAATGAAACAAAAGCAGACAGACAAGATCTTCCATCTAACATCCAAAACAATAAACAACTATTTTTCAGTTTTTATTTGTTTTTGGACATCATTACTTCATTACTGCGTATAATATTGTTATGCACAGCGAGATGGCAGCTCTTACAACAGTGTTTGTTCAACTTCAAACATCCAAATGGTAATTGATTTTATTGTTATAAAAAGCTTAGAATTTTTTTGATGGTAGCTTTCTTACTGTTGGCAGTCAGTAGTCCTTGCTGATAGCTAGAAATCATTAAGCACTAAATATGTAGAACAGCCAGGTTAGGTTTTTGAAGGCTGACAATGCCATATGTTTCAAATTTTAATTATACCAACTTTATGCTGATTTCTAAGAGTTGATCTTTATTAAAAAATGGAGATGACTGATTCTTATAAGTTGCAAGTATTTGACTTTTGAATTCCAAAACCTACTTTTTACTGGAATTTGATACTGATGAATGTTAAGTTATTTGGTGGGCTAAAATAAGAAACGTAGTTTTTATGTTGTGTTAACTATTAATCTTGTTTTTTCTTTCGGAATGCTAATTAGGACGCAATAAATGGGCAATTGGCTGAAGGAGATGCGGAAAAGGAGGGGAAGAAATTGAATACTTGTGGAGAATGTGGTGCAAGTTTCCAAAAGCCTGCTCATTTGAAGCAGCATATGCAAAGTCATTCACTAGAGGTGTGTCAAAATTTCTATTTTATCTTGTTTAAAGACTTATGTGTGTTAAAATTTCTATTTTAGCTTGTTTGACTATAATACTGTTGATTAAGTTCTTGTTCTCATTTTCAGCAAAACAAATGTTTTAGTGTCTTTTGATAAATGGGTCTGGTTTCTTTGTTTTTTTTGTTTTTGGAGGGGTTTAATGTTGCTTCTTAACCATTGAAGAAATCTTTGACTATGAGTATATAATAGTCTTGAGATGATTCTTGTATATTTACAGTTATGGTGATCATGTTTAACATGCCTTTGTATAAATAGGTATGTATATTTAATTTATGTCTACATTTTATGATATCACTTATGTTCTTGAACAGTGGCAATCAGTTCTGCTGGTGGTTTAGAAGTCTTAGTATGTGTTATACTTTAGCAATGCAACTTGTAACAAGACTTTGACAAGGAGGTTTTAGTTTTCTTAATTTTGAAAGAAGCATATGCTGGTTATTTTTCTTGGTGCTCCAAGGTGGTCATGTTTATTTTGACAAGCTAGCATTTCAAAGCCCCTGATCTTTGTTCACCAAAATATGCGTGGTTTGAACCCCAAAAAGTTGTGCCCCAAAATGAAGTGTTGGTGTTTAAAAATTTTCATTCATAATTAGGATGTTTTTTAGCCCTGGAATAGTCTATTATTGATAATGTGCACACAGTTTTTCATGCTTGTATGACCTTGTAATGCATCTATGAGCAATATGCATACTTCTGCGTTGTGGTGCTTGCATCTTTATTATTATGTTCCTAATACAGGGCCGATCTCATGTTTTATCTGTACATGCATGAATTGATCCTAAATGCTGGTGCAGGTTGTAAAGTTAATTTGATTGTTTGAGTAATCATGTGAAATGAACCATGGATTTAGTGTGAAGCATTGGATCCCACACAAAGAACTCCGTAATGCGAGAGGCAGCAATATCTACCTTGATTGGATTAGTACCAGGAAGGGGGACCTCCTGAGAAGCTCCATCAAGTGAGCCTCAGTCACGCTTTGTTTTTATGTTGAGGTTTGAAGATTTTTGCATTAGCGTATTGAAAATAAGTTCTAGTATTCAACGAAGTGAAAATTTTGAAAGCTTATTTTGTATTTATTTATCTGCCACAGAGGCCATTTACTTGTCCAGTAGATGACTGTCATTCCAGCTACCGAAGGAAGGACCACCTGACTCGTCACCTTCTTCAACACCAAGGGAAGCTTTTTAAATGTCCTATTCAGAACTGTAATCGAAGATTTGCTTTCCAAGGTAATATGAAGAGGCATGAGAAGGAATTTCACAGTGAGGAATCTGTGTCCAGTGATGTGGAGGAAGCTCGGAAGCAGTATGTCTGCCCAGAAATTGGGTGCGGAAAGGTGTTCAAATATTTATCCAAATTGAGGAAACACGAAGATTCTCATGGTGGGTTGCTTTTCTGCATTTTTGAATCCTATTATATTGTAAACTTTAAAGATTGATACTTTTAATTGTTTAGATGTACCTACAGTTTAGTCAGAAAAGCAGTTTCCATTTGGATACCTTTGATAAAACTCCTTGCCATTGCAGTTAAATTGGATGCAGTGGAGACCTTTTGTTCTGAACCAGGCTGTATGAAATATTTCACAAATGAACAATGCCTCAAGGCACATCTGCAGTCTAGCCATCAGCATATTACCTGTGAGATATGCGGGACCAAGCAATTGAAAAAGAACATTAAGCGGCATCTGCGTAAGCATGAAGCACAGGGTTCATCAAAGAGAATAAAATGTAGCTTCAAGGGTTGCTTGCACACATTTTCTACTGTAAGAGTCTCTCACCCTTTCAAGAATGGTCTCTGTTATCTATCTTACTGATAAATGGGTAGCATGACAAAATGTATTCAATCATGTAAAGAAAGTTTCTCAAAATGTTGTATTACTCTGCTAAGAAGCTGTTGACAAAGCCTAAATTGGTATATGGATCATACAATAGAGACAAAGTAACTAAAATATTCTTGGTTATTGAGTTTTGCTACAGTGCTGATATCTCTTTCACTTTTTTATCATTTTGCAGAGATCCAATCTCAATCAGCATGTGAAAGCTGTGCACTTTGAACTAAAACCATTTGCCTGTAGCATTCCTGGGTGTGGCTTGAAATTCCCATTCAAACACGTGAGAGATAACCATGAGAAATCTGGGTGCCATGTTTATACTCATGTAAGGTTTTCCTCAAATTTATCTACAATTTTAATGCTATTGCATCAGGCAGTAAGCCATTTGTATTGAATTCTTTTTCCCAAAGATTGTGGGAACATAAACTGATGCTTGATTATGTGATTGCTTTGGGTCAGGGAGATTTTGAGGAGTCTGATGTGCTTTTTCGGTCGAGGCCAAGGGGTGGCCGGAAAAGGAAGTGCCCAGCTATAGAGACACTCACGCGGAAAAGGATTATTCCACCAATGGAATCAGATTCTCTTATTAATAGAGGACCGGAGTATTTCTTGTAGTTGCTCTCAGCAGAAAGGTGAGGACCAGCTTTTCTGTTGTGCTCTGTAGAACTGTCGAGCACAATGTAGATTGATGATGCATTACAATATTGTTGGTAATGTACTCCCATTGTTTATAGGTTAGCTGCATAGCATTTAAGGGTTATGTATATTGTAGGTTAGGTCTGCTCATGCAATTTCAGCAAAACATTGTATCTCAAAAATATGCCATGGTTGATGTAAGGTCATATTTTAATGATGTTATTGAACATGGGTGACAGTCTGCACTTTGTTTTATCGATTGTGTCCGGTCTATTCTTTTGCAATGCTCATGGGTAAGGTTTGTACGTAACGTTGGTTGATCTGAATGGACGGGGGGCAGCCATTGTAGGGATATTAGATGGTCGACTGAAAGGGCTCGATTGTGCCTAGAGTAGATACACCAGATCAGGGAAAGATGGGATACTGCTTGCTGGGTATTGTGTCCAATTAAAATAAGGGTTAGGTTAATATTTAATAACTATATGATGGGAATCATTTTAAAATGTTAGGATTGATTAGAAAATATAGAATTGATCTTTGACAATTTAAGATTGTTTAAACTTTTTTAGTGTGCTTTTTTAGTGTGCAATTATTTGACCTAAATTAGTGTGCAATTATTTGACCTAAATTAGTGTGCTTAAATTTCTGATTATCTGAATATTTTGACTCTAGTTTATCACATTGATTGGTTATCACAAAAAATCGGATAGGCCAACGGAAGAAATTTTGATATTTCAAAAAAATTGGATAAAAATGCGGAATACTTATAAAAATTTTGGTTTTTTTACTCTACTCCTATTCGCATGTATGTGTGTGTGTGGTGTGTGTGAAATTTTTAACATTTTAATACTGTTAATGCGTGCAGAAACCACAAACTAGAAACACTATTAATGTGTTGATTAATTGGTGTATGTTACTTAATTGGATTGTTAAAATGATTCAAAAATTAATAATTAAAAAATATTATATTCACCTGAGATTAATTTGGTTAGAATTCGAGTAGAAACAGTATACTTGATTGGGTAGAGTGGGTTAAAGAAAATCTCTTCTGCAAAATATCGGATAAAAAGATAGAATATCATAATTTATACCTCTAAGGTAGGATGAACACCTCTAACCTAAATTATGAGTAACATCACTAGGTTGAGTTATAATTTTTTTTTAATTTTGTATTAACGCCTAGTATAATTTTTCTCAAAAAACATTAACCTAAAAAACCTTGGGATAATGTAGCTGTTCTCTCAAGAACAAGGCATTCAAGTGTTTTACAATTCTATCAACAAAATAATATAAATATCATAATTAGTCTTCAAACTTTGCATTACGTCTTAAAATGGTTTATGAATTTTTAATTGTTTTAATTTAATCCTTAATTTTGTGTTAGTAAAATCATTCTGCCCATTTCATCGTTAGACCAAAGCAAGTCAATACATTAGCTGATGTTACTCATAAAGTCAATCCCATTTTGGCATTCATAAAGAACTCAAGAGACAAATGAACTAAAGAAGATAAATTTGTACTCTCTAACACAATTGCTAGTGTCTGGTTCGTTCGTTGCCAGGCATCTATCATTGTCGTTAACTGACCCGCATGCTCTTTAACCCTAACAGGCATGCTTGTCTCCCTACAACGTCTTTGAAGTCAACAGTACGTGATGTACTGTTTTGTTTCTATAAGTTGAAACAGTGATGGCCGAAGAAGTTGAAACCGTGATGGAGTTGTTGTAAAGCAAGTAATGCCAATTAGAATATAGTTCATGAAACTAAAACGGGATCTTCAAAACTTGAACTTCAAATGTAAATTGAGCGCAGCTAGAAGAAGAGCTTAATCTGTATAGAGAAACCACATAAGACAATAAACATTTGCAAGTTTAGAGAAGTTAAATTTCGGGATAACAACCAAAAGAGGGGGAAGCAATTATTGCATATGAATCAAACTATTCATTCAAACAGCTGGGGAAAAAATAAAATAGTATAGAAGATTCCAGATTGAAAATGAGTTTTTTGCCAAACATTGAAAGCGGCTACCTTTTATTATTGAGGCTTGCTTTGAGTTTGTTGAGGAGGTGGGATGCTATATAAGGATTTCAGCTGTTTGCTTATGAGCTTGCTGTTATGCAGAGCCATTTGAAGTTCCAAATCATCAGACCACCACTGCTCCAATCCATGTGCCTCAAGAAACTTCTGCTTTCCCTTTGACAACACAAAAAGTTTTGCGGCAACTTGCTCATTTGATGGACACAAATTCTCCTTGTCATGGTTATCTCCTGCTCCAGCCGGATCAGTGTAATAGCAACAAATATAGTCACTGTTGTTCACATATAGATGAGGTACCCATTTCTTTAGTCCTAAACCACCTGTTTCTGTAACCTCATCATTGCTGGCCTGAGTTTCACTAGAAGAAGGAAGCATTGATTTGAACCTCTTCCAAACGAATCCAGCTTTTTCCCCAATATTCTTTATACTCATCGCTAAAGATACAGAAGGTGGATTAAACAAATGAGTCTCTACAAATATTCCCTGTTTGGCTAATGCTTTTCCCACTTGGAGGGCAAACCCAGCCCCTAGAGAATGGCCTGCAACACATACATTGCTGCTTCCATACCTGTTGGCAATTGACTTCAACGCCTCCAAAGCTCCATTAAATCTGACAGAACCCTTTAAGCTTTCCCAAGCTAGAAACCGGAGATCATCCTCTATGTCACGTCTAATTGTTGGGCTTTTGAGAAGTGTTCCTCTGAGTGTTAAAACTGCTCTTGGTGCACCACTGGGTCTAATGAGTATGAAGTCTGACAAAGCAGCAGATCGATCCCATTCCAGAATTGCACCAAATACTGATCCATCTCTCTCATCAATCAGGGTTTGGGCCAGCTTGTACTTGAAGGGTATCCACCATTTGGGAGCAAGAGCATTTTCTGATGTCCTGTTTTCTTGTCTGTCTAGTTCAAGCAAATAAACTGCTTGTATGAAGCAAGCAACAACTGTTCTTCTGTAATTCCCATCCTTCCTGTAAACATTATTCAATTGCAGAATCAGTTTTTAGAACCTCAGGAAATCATATGTTAAAAAGAAACTTGAAAAGATATCTATTTCTATGGTTCACATGCGAACTGCTCATGCTGTAAAGTTCAGAGGATGCTTAAAATACAAGCTCGTTATGACATGCATACATGATACATACATACTAGGAGCTACAAAAATCCAAAGTAGTAGAATATGAATGAATACATTTGAAGACAAAACAGTTGTATTCTGTTTGAATAATGACAAAAAGATGAGGCTTGAAATTCCCTTAATAATCTGTTTGTTATCACAATCAGCTTTTCAGCGACAACCACTGGAATGAGAAGGTAAAAGCAGGTGTCAAGAATGACTTGTGCCACTTGAAGAAATGTAATTCAGGTATAGTAAAAAAGGAACAACTGAACAAGCATAAGAAGCACTAGAATTAAGAGATCCAAGATATGTTAGATGGACATCTAAATTTCTTCTTTTTCACCCTCTGCATTGAATAACTTCCAAAAAAGACCTATCCTACGACAACATGAAGGAAGAACCTTTCAATAGCCAAAAAAAAAAAGAAAAAAGAAAAAAAAAGGGAAGAACCTTCAGTCTAAATCACATCCTCTTATTTGCAATGTAGCTAAAAACAGTAATAAAAACCGGCTAAGTGTAGGTAAAGAAGCAAAGGAGGAGAGAAAGAGCAAACAACATTCACTAGTTACTTTCATCATCTAGGTTCCCAAAAGACATGAAAGTGTTAGCAGATGGATATTGAAACTTTAATTTCTTTTCACTTGTTCCCATTTGGAGGATATACCTTACAACCCAACAAACACAGGAATATACCTCAGTGGCTCTGCTCTGTCTTAAAAAAATTTCCTTTAAGAGTGACCAATTTGCAATAATTAAAAAGTAACTCAACAACATTTGTTTCCTCCTGTAATGCCAAATGATTGAAGAAGTCCACTGATTATGCTGTCAAATTCAATCACCATTCAATAATCTCTTGGTTTATACAATAACCAAACAGGTAAACACCGTTCCATTCAATTCAGCCAGACCCTCCCTAGACCTCGACTTTCCACCACTAAAACAGAGGTCCCCCAGTTGATGGGTTCCTAACTCTTGCTTATCAGCATTGAAAGCGGGAGATCTGACAGAATTGAAGAATTTTGAAGATTGTGGTGGAGAAGAATCAGAATTGGACAATTTCCAACATTTTTGTCACTACACTAAATTACCTTCATTTTATCGGTTAAATTTACTGCTCCCCCACTCACTGCTTTTCCGGACTGAGAAATCAAATTCAGTTCAATTTGAGAGATGTCAGCATACCCGAGATGAATATCAAATGCTTGCCCCATATATTTCCCAAGTAATGGTACTAACATATCGGGGAGATAAGTTTTGATTTAACTATATCTTTGGTATATCACCACCGTGTATCCTAGCCGCCAACTCAAGAGACTCTAGCAGGATTTTTTTAATGTAGTTTCCATTAATTCTCCAATGTTTGCACATGTTATACGACACTCCCTTGGATCGTGAACTTATTTATAGCTTACCACAATTAACATGGTGAATCATTAGATCAAAAGGTCAAAGGTTCTGCCTAGGAGCTTAGACAAGAAGCCCTCAAAATATTCCTACTCCGATTGCCCGAGTACATGCAACGAACATTTGGACATTGTCTTATAAATGGCATCCAAAAGTTTCACAGGCAAGAGAGATGCCGCACAGTTGGCCTTTATATTATGTATGGCTCCACGAGTCCTGCCATCAAGAGATATATTGGCCCCTCCAGTTCAAAAGTCCTACCAGTGCCTATCGCTATCTCAAGAGACAAATTTTGAATTGCCCCCTCCCACAATTTCTCATGACTCGTTATTATTACTGACTCCTTTATTACAACCAAGAGGAACACATGCAATTCTCAAAAACACCAGGAGGTATCTGAGATTGATTATATCGCAAATCCCTAAAAATCCCTAAAATCAATCAAAAAAATAGTAATAACAATGAGTGAACTCCGAATTCAAAAATTCTAGATATGCCATCAAAGCGAAGCAACCCCACACAAACTCTCACCAAAAATTATATGTATCAAAAGGTAATGTGAAAGACAATATCATCAGATATATTTAATAAGTCAGCATGTCAAATATTTTCCTGATATAGTGCAGTGCTCTTTCAGAAAATAAGTTGCTAGATAGAGCTCGTTGATCCGTTTCTTACAAGTTCACTCAAAATACTTAATTTTCTCGTGAACTTAGATTAGATACCTCACAAATCGATGAACTAGAGACCGTCTTCTCCATTATCAATGTATCTAAAAACCCACTTATTAAATTTTACTAAAAACACTTCTCTGTGTTGCCAACCAGCACAGCCCCTGATTCTGCAACAGAAGCAGAAGATCTAAGACAAAATTATCAAACTATTGTGTCACAGTTCCCCTTAAAACCCCTGTTAAAGTCCAGTAATCATCAATTCTCAAGCTTAAGGCAAAATGAACAAAACCTAAGTCATCTCAACTGTTCCAACATTGAAAGAAAATCCTATATATGTTCCCTCAAGAGAAATTGCGTCACAAACAATGTAAACAACTAGTGATTAAGCCAAGGAATCCGACAAACACACTCACCACACACGCGCACATAACACATACTCATCTAGCTTCATCGGAAGGATCAAAACGACACTAAAGATATATGAGATGCTGGGTACTGACCAATTAGAGTTGATGATATCTCGCCAGTTGGGAGAAGGAACATTTCTTGGACCAGACACATGAAATGAGTACGGATGAGCATATTTTTTCTTTGTCCCCTTCCAGAAAATCCTCTTTCGTTGTCATATCATCTGCACTTCTTTTAACCATGAATGAACAAGACCCACCTCTTCTGTTCGTTCTGTTCTTACTAGCAGGTGATGGTATACACCATGTCCAACTGAAAGAGAGAACTCAAGAGAGGAGAGCCGTGTAGAGAGACAGAGAATGGGTTTTTCCCTTTTGCTTTGTCAAGACTTTTCCATTGCATCTGATTCCGTAGTGTGGTGAGGAATTCAATTCTGTTGGATTATAATAATCATTATCGGATTTGAAAACGCCTGGGTTTTGTAGGGTCTCAACGGCATATTTCCTTCAGGAGTCCATTTAAGTTGTGCTTCCCTGCAATTTTTACCCTTTGAGTTTATCCAAATAGACACAATAAATCTTCCTTACGCGTTACGTTGGT